CCCTGCATTGTGCAAGAGGTCTTAATCTCTCCTCAGTATGGTGACAGATGGGGGGGGGGGATGGAGAAAACACATAGGATTTCCATTTATAGTATCTCATCCAGCCCTATAGAAATCCAGAACAGATTTACTTGAAGTAGTGTTCAATTGTTTAGAAAAAAAAGCTTGTGTGTCTGTATATGTATGTAGCATAGCATAGCACATAAATTGTATATTGTATGGTATGGCTTGTAGCAGGATATGCACGGTGAACATAGCGGGCAGAGGGAGGGAGGAGGGCTCAGGAGGCCTGGCTGAAATCTCTGCTCAGTCATGGAAGCTCACTGGCGGTAGTGGGAACCTTGAAGGAGTGGGTAAAACCACTCTTTCCAGATCTCACTTACCTTTAAAACCCTATTAGGATCGCTATACAGTACCATCGGTTCTGACCTGAGGGCAACACAGCAGCAATGGTATGTAGTCAGGGCAAGTTGCACCCAAAGGTTTCAGTATGCAATACTTCTGGATTCCAGGCAGTCACTTAACAGTAAAATGATGAATTGCATACAGTTAAGTCAATTCCAAGGTACAGTAGAACCACAGAATCAGGAAGCTGGAAGGGGCCTATAAGGCCATCGAGTCCAACCCCCTGCTCAGTGCAGGAACGCTTTCCAGCATTTCTGAGTACTCTACATGTAGTAGAGTACCATACTCAGAAATGTTTCGCCATTCCCTTCTGTGGGCACTCTGGAACAGATGCAGGTTGCCCAAGGTTAGTCTCTTCTCCCAGAAAGGCACCACGGGGAATGCGAACTCCAAAAGTCTGGCCCTGCAACGCCTCTTAATTAAGCTATCCAGCCAGCTCCATTACTCACCACAACCCAATTTTCAGTCCCTCCCTCATTATGTGTCACCAAGTGTTGATAGGATGTTCTCTCTTAAAGTGCTTCCTCATGGGAGAAGGACCATCCCCAATACATTCTTGCTTCTGCAAACCTTGAGTCTGCCAATATTATCCTTTTGAAAGGGTGAGGCACTGCTTGCTTTGGCCACAGAAGCCTAAGCAGTCTTGGCTAATATCAGTATTGGTGTCTGTATGAATAAAACTGGGGCTTCTTTAGAGTGCTTGTGCTCAGGCCTTCTGCCATTCCATTCAATTACTCTCATCCTTTTTCCTAGTTTTCCATTCTCCCTCTACAAGTCAGGACCAGCCCTATGATAAACAGTACCCTGGCTAGGATTGTCTTGTTGTCCCCATCTTGTGTTAGTTTAGCAGGACCTTTTTAAAGTTCATGGCACCTGGGGCAGCTGTGCTGTGCCCTCCAAGGACCCAAGTTGTATGTACAAAGCTGGAGGCCAGATGTAAGAAATATTTTATGCTTCCAAACAGTTATTTTCATAACTGATTTTTTTTTACTTTTGTTTGTTTTCAATAGAGGCTATAGATTAGAAAAACCAAGTTTTACACAAACAAGCAGGGGAAATTAAGATTCCACATTTTCTTTCTTTCAATTTTTATTACAAAAGATCATATAACATTTCTTCAAGCCTTTGTCGACCCTCTCTGAGGACATCACGGGCCCCTGGCAGTCCACAGGTGAAGAACCTATAGACTAGGATTTTGTGGAGACCAGGTTTCAAACACTTGGCCATGGAAATTCTGCTGCAGTAAACCAAAGTGAGTTAGTGCCTAGAGCAAAATGGGAGGTAGGTGACTAAGTAATAAATTGCTTTTGCTGCATACGCTGGGAAACACTGGCTGAAATCCAGTAATAAACAAAAACTAGAGGAAGCCCATTGAATCAGTGGGGACTTGGCAAGCCAACTCCTCCGTAAGATCCTTTGATTCAATGGGCCTGCTCAAGTTGAGACTTTCTACTGGATTTCACCCAGTGGGTCAATGTATTCCAGTGTCAGTTATTCAAATTGTCTAGAATAATTCCATGTCCTCCAAGTACATGTCAGTAATTGAACCTGCACCCAACTGAATGCAAACTATTATTACAGTAGGACCTCTGTATCTGCAGGGGATTGGTTCCAAGCTGCACCCTGCTGCAGATGCTGAAAAATGCGGATTATAGTAACTACTATTTGAATAGTGAACACTATACATAGCATGGCCAGTTCTGGTAATATTATTGAAATATATTTCTCTAAATAATGCTACACATAACATGGTCACTGGCTCCCTCTAGTGGCGAATTCTGATAGCTTCATCTTTAGAAACATGTCTAGGATTTTTCTTTTCATGTTTTTAATATTTTCAGACCATAGATAAGTGAATCAGAGGATACTAATCTTGCGGATAAGGGGATCCTACTACGCTCAGTTTGGGCAAAAGATCCAGTATGGCATAGAAATAATGAAGTACTGTATAAGGAAATAAGAGACCAGGAAAGTGTTTTTTTTTCATCTTGTTGTCTCTTAATTAGAGCAGATTGGCCAACAGACTCTGTAGTTTACAGTTCCAGATTCAACAATCAGACATGATGTGTCACTCTCCCCTAGCCCCAAGGTGTTTGAGATCTTCTGAAGACGTCCTGCTCCAGGTTCCATATCATATAAATACTAGAATAGCCTGAAGAAGAAGAGGGATCTTCTCCATGACAAATGTGATGTTCTGGAATTCTCTCGAGAGCAGTTCACTCAGCTTCCTTTTTTTAAAGCAACTGATCAACTCCCAAAACTTCTTTTTTTTTAAAATGCAGCTTACCCTTCTTCTATTGGTTGTGCTGATTGCTCTACTAACGTTTTATTCCTTTACTTTGTAAGTTTTCAAAAATTCAGAAATTCTCATGTGGACTTTATGCATCTGTTTATTTCAGAAGGAAGATGACATGAGTGCCCTTTAAGAAAGGCATTTCTCATAAATGTACAATAAAATCAACCATTGTTTCCAGCAGCATACAAAAATACACCTCTTCATTACTTCCATACAATAATAAATAGGAAATCATGCATCCAATAATAAAAAGGCACAGAAAACTGGTCACTTGGGAATCATAAAATTACTATTAACAGAACCACCCAAATATTCTGTACACAGAAATGTAACAATATATCCCAAAGGTGCAAAACAAATAAAACATCTTTCAAAATATTATATGCAATAAATATCTCAATTGTATGTATTTATTAAAAATAAACATGTGCCATTGTAAACTGTATGTAAACAAACAAAATTCAATGTTTCTTAAAAATGATTACAAGTAAATAAAATCCAGACTTACATTTTATTCTTAACACATGTGATGGGCATGTTTGTTAAGCATTTAAGCACTTGATTATTCTTATAGTACACAGAACCTGCAGCCAGTGGTGAACTGCACGGGTTCCAATGCCACCACATGCCTCTAATTTGAAGAGGGTCTAGTCTGGTACTCTTCTTCAAGAATTGGTAACTGTAAGTGGGAAGTTCAAACAATGTTTGCAAAACCATTGACCAACTGAATGCAAGAGATTGTGCTCTTCAGTATCCCCCTTAGTTAAAAGATCTGAACTGTAATAGATACATCAGTACCAACAAGCTGAACCCTTTAATAAATTAAACAAATAAAACCAATTTGGGCAATCACTACAGTTTAACGGTGAGAAACCATTAATCACTTGTATAGCTTTTATGATACTTTTATCATCAGACTCTTGGTGAGGTCCAAATGTAGTCATGTTTAGAGAAGAGCTACTGCAGTCAATGATAGTTTTGTCACAGTGTAAATCACATCGATTTAACAGATTTACTTGCAAGCCCACTCAACCATTATGAGAATGTGTAGAGTCTCCATGCAGGGAGGAAATTTTGCAAGCCCATCCCCTCTGTCTTCATGCTGAATATGGACTATCAACTGGCCAAAGAGGAGAGAAGCTAGGGCACACAGGTAGTTTCTTCTCTCCTCCACAACTGTAGTTGTGACCGATAGAGCAGCCTCTCCCTCTTCAAACCATCACACTTCCATGTTCAATCCAACAACAGAGGTCAGGGCTATGTATGGGCTCCTCCTGCCACCAGTCCTGTTTTTTGTGTCGCAAATAGGCTGACAAATATCATTACTGTTCTCCAAATTAAAAAACATAGGCACCAATAGATTGAATGTTTCACCTGCTACTTTAACCATTGGTATTTTCACACTGATTTTGCTGTAAGCTGCTGTGAAATCTGATAGAGTAAAATATACTATATTATAGAGGGTCTATAATTAATAAATAAATAAATAGTTTCACTGGCATTTATATTATAAAGGATGTAAGGAGCACACTTACAATTATGAAACCCCTTAGACGAGATTCTAAAGATTCTAAATTGTTTTTATTTTAGTAAATGTTGTACACCTTCCAGAGGAGAAAAGATCTTTTCCGCTTATATTTTTGCATAATTGCCATCCACAGGTAGGATTCCTTTGTTTGTACATTTCATATATCCAGAAACACTATAGCCAAGTTACATTGGAGAATATTGACTTC